CTCGTCAGGAGACGGGAGAGGCCGAGGGAGCTGCCCGCGCCCGGCCACGGGAAATGCTGCGGGTTCAAAGAGAGGGTTTGGGAGCCCGGGCATGCCCTGCCCGCCGCCTAGCCAGGCAGCCTGCCTTCCTGGTGTGACAGTACTGGTACAGGGAAAAAATAGATTTGTAAAGGCATTATTATGCTCAAACCGCGCCAGGTCCCTGGGTGAAAGTCTATCTTGAACTTTCCAAATGACACCAGAAGCAGTTTTGGTTGCATTTCCAAAAATATTGAACTGCACAGCCGTAGTTCGCCAAAAGCAATACTGAACATGCACGACACCTTAGCATGTGTGGCTCAAGGTGTATCTGGTAAGAGCACAAGCATTAAGCTTTTCATTGACTTGAGATTTCCTTTTTTTCATTTTGACACCAGTTTTACGACTTCAGGAAAGTCGCTGTAAACACATCGGTGGCTCAGTTTCTGCATTTAACAAGTGTTACTGGCTGCTGGGAATTGGAGGTGGTTGGGGATTTACTCTACAGGAAATAATTCTGTGTGATGTGGACCGGTGGGACTGCAGCTCTGAAATGATGGCAACATTTACTAAAAAACTCTGGAAAGAAAACCCCAACCCTTCATTTTAATATATTGTCCATTTTCACGTTGTGTTTGAGGGAAATTTTAAATCTGTACAGTAATTTCCTGCAGTCAAACCCCACTGTGACATTTAGCCACGCATGTCAGCTACAGGCTCAGTTAAACAGATCACTAGATCACTACACGGCTTTGTTGCTGCTTGTGGCCTTTGATGCCTGATATATTCTCTCACATCGAAGCGAGTGTATCTTGGCTTGTTTAAGTGCCTATTTTTGCCTTCCTTAGCTCTGACAGTAGTTTACTTCAGATGGCTGAGAAAACCAGAGGCCCGCAGGATGTCCCCCCCGACTCTTCTCCTGATGAAAATGAATTTCCTTTCGGATATCCCACTAGCATTTGTGAGGATGTGCCTCATCAGAAGTACCTGTGCAGCAACTGCAATAACGTTCTGAAGAAAGCCCTGCAAACGCTCTGTGGGCATCGGTACTGCTCAGCCTGCCTCGCCTGGATCGTACGGTAGGTCCTTGCTGCAGAGGGTCTCACTGCTGTGGCAGAGTCTGTGGCTGTCCTGAGAGCTTTGTCGTGCCGCTGTGCTCCTGTGGATGAGGCTGTGGCTGCCAGGCTCCCTGGACTGCAGTCATTTTGCTGCCTGGAAATGCTCACCTGTGATGGACTGCAGACTGCGGGAAGGCTGGATTGCCAGATGTTCAGTTTGTCTATCTGTAGATGTGAGATGATGATTCTGATTTAACCCCAAAGAAGGCTGACTTAACACTTTTCACTGTCCTTTGGTACGCGGTGTTGTAGGATTTTAATAAACATTAGAGGTTTATTTTTAGTAACTCGGCTGGGTCACTGCACGTTAAGGTGCTGCTGCCATTAGTGACAAGCAATGACAGCCACAGTCCTGGAGAACCTGAAAATCAGGAGCTGGACAGGGATTTGCTTTGATTGATTAGCTGCTTCTATCCTGCTTTTTCTTTTGACAACTACACCTTGATGCAGAGCCTTTGGAAAAGGGTATGTCTGCTAGGCAGGTGAGAGGTGAGATTGCAGCACAGTGCCGCGAATATGAGCTGACTTTAGCTCTGGTGTTTGGGAAAACAGCAGCTGTCAGTATGTCTAAAGCAGTGTCTAAAGTACGTCTAAAGCCCATCACTGTGCTTCCCCGTAGGTGTTGTTTCTAGGCTGCTCTGGGTGTGCCAGCCTGTGCAGTCCCGGCTCTAATCGCAGCGTGGGGCGCCTGAGGAGCTGACTCAGTGCGCTGCCCGCATGTGATTGGAAGTTCACTGCGTAATAATGTAAAAATGTGTTGTACTTAATATATTTGACCAACTTACGTAACTCCATTACTGTAAATCTAGAACAAAGCCCCTTAATGAAGGAACATAAGCTGTAAATTCAGAAAACCATCAGCAGGACATAACCTTAGATTGTTACATCTTCCCATTAGGGTCTTACAGCCCAAACGGGAAACTGGCTCAGACAAGCTCTGAGGGATGGATGCTTTTCTGATGAACTTCTCTGTGTTAGTTCATTATTTGCCTGGATGATAAACAGTGCTGGCAATGAAATACGTCTCTAGTAAAGTGGATTTTTTTTTTTTGCTTCCCTGTATAAAATTCTGGGCTAAACATTTTGAGAGTAGATCAAAATCCGTTTTAGCTGCAGTAGGGTGTTAACTCTCTAGAACTCAATTCTGCACTGGTTCTACTGTATCTTTGTGATCTGAAGTCTGTATATCTATCTTGGGAAAATGAAGATTTTCTGTGTTTTAAAAACTTTAGTTTTCATATTATCTTTCCTACATGCTTTTTTTTCTGATTAATGAGATAAAGAGGTTCCCATCTTCATTCTTTTTATGATCCAGGCTGCTATTATTTTGTTGAAATGCAGATAAGGTTTATGAGCGTAGTCCTAGTCTTGAGGAATAAAACAGCAGCGTTTCTTTGATGTCAGCATGTTCAAGAACTGGCCCTTTAATGAACAAGGACTGTGGGTACTGAGTGAAAATTACTATTTCCGTGCTTTTGTTTGTGTCAGTCTATATAGTGAAGACCTCCTAAACTACAGTGCAGCAACTGATTGTTACTTCATTCTTCTTTCTTTTTGCCAGAAACAATAAAAATGCGATTTGCCAGAAGTGTAGAGAGGAAGATCCCAGCACTTTAAGTGAGGGAAGCCTCTTGGCAGAAGAACGGGTGAGTTGTAGTTCACAGTTCATTAATTTATCATTAGCCATCCTCTGAGCTACTCTGGGCTACATTGGACTGTAATAACACAAAATGTGAGAGCAGCTGATGTTTACACATTTTAAGCTATGCTTTAGTTGTTTGGATTTCCTGCAATTTTTGGTTTAAAAAAGTATAATGACAGCCTTAGGACTTCCCAAGTCTGTCAGGTTCTGCAACATGAAATCTCATACTCTCTATATAATTTTTTGTTGTCTCAAAGTAACTGGTGCTTTCCTACTCGTAATAATGTGTCTTACTGTTACTTACTATCCTTGGTAAGTATCCTAGTGGATTTTCCAAATCATGGTTCTCTGTACCCTTCAAACATGTTACAAACAGGTAGAGCATCTCTAAGAAAAAAAAATGCTAGAGTTCAGCTAGCAGGCTCACTTGCCTAGAAAGCGCTTTGACAGCCAGCATGTCTGGAGAAAATAGTGGAAAACATGGAGCAGAACATAATAATTGATAAAAACTCTGCTCTGGCAAATGTTTAACCTGTACTTTTAATGGTGCCGTTCTCTTTTGCTGTTACGTGATTTTCCAGGCAGAACGCTGCACTATTCTTTGCCTTGAATACAAATGGAGCCCCAGGGCTCTGTCCCAGCTTGTCTTTTTCCCTCCTTTCTGTTTACATGCAGGAAGACCAAGACACACACATTCTGTCTATGGAAAAATGAAACCCAAGAGGCAGTTGGCAGTGAGGTGAAAGACCACGTTTAGGAATTACCCAAAGCAAAATAACGAATCTGCAGTTGATGCTGAACTTGGTATTATCTCAGAAGAAAAACCAAAAGATCTTCAATTCTGCAATGAATTTCCCAGTAACAGAATTTCACACATCATGTAACTACAAATAGCAGAACTAAACCCTTACAAACTTCTTATTCTGTGTTGACTGTCGGTTCTCTTACGACTTTGGGATTTCTCTGCTGTGGGATTCTCACTTAGTCTGCTGGGACTTTCTGCAAAATCCGTGGGTGGGTGCTTGTAAACAGGGCCCCGCTCTTGCAAACTGATCTGCCTGGGTGGGTTCTTACGCCTGTGGAGAGTCCAGATGAAGTCAGTCACCACGAAGGCGTGAGGATCTGCCTCTGTGGATCAGCTTACAACAAACAAACAGAGTTTGTAAACAACACAAATAGTGAAGATAATTTAGCAAGTTTATTCTTTTAATCTCATCCTGATAATCCGTTTTACCTTTGCTGTGGTTTTACTTAATGTTTGTTTCCTATGCTGTCTGTTTATGTGTTTATATTTTAAATAAGATAACTACCCTAGGAAACAGAAAGTCCTGTCAGGATGTGCCTTAGCTTATCCCATGATCTATTTCTGTGGTCACTCCCATCCCTTCCCTGTTACACTTTGAATTTATGGTCCTTTCCCACTCAGCATAGACTTCGAGTCTTGTCATGGTGCTGTCATCAGTATCAGTTACTGAGCATCTGCATCCGTCACTGAAATCAGTCAGAGGAGCGGGGAATTCTCTCAAGCCTCTGCTCACAGCCTGTCTGCTGTCACTCATGGACCTGGCTTAGGGGACAGCTCTCTGCTCTGAACTGAACACAGACCGCCTCGTGGCTCTCCCCTCTGGCTGTGTCGGAGCAACTGGAGGTGCTGGCTCAGCTGCAAAGACCCAGCCTTAGCTGGAGAGAAAAAAATCAAACTGCTGGATTAATCCTGGAAAGCTTTTGGTCAGGTTGATCTCTTTGTTAATCTTGTTGCCAGCCTGAAGCCGTAAAATACAGGTCGTGCAGGGCAGAGCGCCAAGGAGGAGGGAGTGCGTCTGGCGGTGCTTTTGGGGTGGGACATGGCAGGGGACCTCCACTTGTGTCACAGCCAGCTCTGGGGCAGGCCTGAGTGCCACCACAGCCACCCGTGATCAACATCAGCAGCACCTGCACCAACATCTTCCTTCAAAACAACTAAACTGAAAGAGGGGAGGTGTGCAATTGCGACATATCGAGTCAGGGAGAAATATTTTCTGTTTCCTTCTGTTTAACCCAGACCACTTCTACATCAGTGAGAGTCATCTCATTTACTGTGTGAGGGTCTGACTCAGGTCCCTAAAGAAGTTCTGCGCAAATTCAGGTTCCCAGATAAGGGGGCAGAGGGTCAGGTGAATATTTCAAAGCAGTGACCTGTGCAGGTAAAAGATGAGGATTTTCTGCCTTATTTTTTACCAGAATAGCGTCCATAATGACTTAGCAACTACAAGTGTGAAACAAAAAGCACGGGGAATGCATATAGCAGTAAGAAACTTATGCACTGCTGGGACTGTCCCTGTACTTAAATATATTTTAAATTATCTATTTTGTAATGTCAGGAAATTCCTTGAGTTTTTCTTTTATGATACAGAGGGAAAAAGCCACCATGTGCCTGATAACTTGAATTTCTTTTCTTTGATTTTGCTCACAAATTGGACTGGAATGTTTTAGAGGATGGGGCTGGTATGCTTTCCCTAATTGTCCAGTGATTGTCAGCTTATTACATGAACTGTTCCATATATGCAGATGGAGCCATGCGTGTACAACTAAGTGATTATTTCTTCATTCCTTGATTGTGAAGTCATTTGCACTTTGTGAGCAAAGTTGTGGACGTTGCTTGCAGGTTAAGATTAGGAGACAAGTATCTATGAGACTCTGCCTGCAGAAATATATCTCATTGTTACCCTCCGTAGTGCTGGCTGTGCTGCTTTTGTGTGATTTAATATGACAAACGCAGGTAAGTACAAACATCTTGCATCTAGGCAAAAAAAAATTAAAATTTAGCAGAGCTTGTTCTTCTGTCAGTACACCTGTTTAGAATGTGCAAGATGTAATACTAAAAGTGTAGTGTTTCACAATTTACATGAAAATTGCACAATTTTTCGTGGCTGGCATCACAAAAAAACAATCACCGCGTAGCGCAAAAAATCCCGCTCGCATATGGTTTGCGTTTCTTTAGTACACAGTGCCGCACTAAATGGAAACAGTCATGGCCTGAGCAGAGTCCTCTCAGTGCAGAGCGCTGTCAAGTGCGCTGTGCAGCGTTTAGGAGGTGTTAATGACCCCGATAATGAAATGCACTCATTAAGAGCAGCGCATGGCAGCACCCTGGAGTCAGGGTCCTGTCAGCACATTCGTTGCCTGTGACGTATTTCAGGCTTCTGTGAAAAGAAGCTTAAAATAATAGCTGTAGCTGGCCAGGCATATTTTCAGTAAATTTATGTCACGTCAAACAGTTTACTTTTGAACCATAAGAAAGAAATGGTTTCATAATTATTTGGGCTTCTGCTACACTACGAGTAACTTGCTACGTTAGAGAGTCTTAGGGCAGTACCGTCGATTTTTAAAAAATCGGATTCTTAACGAGATAGAAGACCTTATTGCTATGTCAGAAATGCGTGCTGGAGTACTTTCTGACCAGTGTTTTTTTTCCTTACCTTTTGGTCTTTACTTTTCAGGCTTTTGGTGATGCTGCCATTAATAAAGAGATCTCTGAACTCAAAGTACACTGTGTGACCCTTGGATGCAGTTGGTCTGGTATCATGAAAAATTTTGAAGTACGTTTAATGGCAAATTGTTTAAATTAAGTAATTAACATGTGCTCTTACTTGATTGGGGACAGAAAGACAGTCAAACTAGGTTCTCAGGAAACAACAGATTAATGCAACATCATTAAAATCACTGAAGGTATCGTGATTTCCAGCAACAGAGTATCTAAAAACATGCCGTTAGCTTTAGTAGGGCTTTGACCAAATCCAGAATATTCAGTGGGTTTATTCATTATTTAAATACAAGGATGCTCCAAGCAGGTTTTGGCTGACCAGAATATTTCAGGCTCTGGGATATTCATATGGGCAATGTCCCTAGTACGTTTTCATAAGAGAAATAATTTCTTCCTGCATAATTGACTCCTATTGATTGAATGTATTCATCATTCCTTTCAGACTGATGTGAAATGCCCCAGGTGAAGTATTTAAATGGACAAGATTTATGAATCAGCCGTGTAAATTAGGATAATGAAAAGATACAGATAATTCTTATACTAATGCAGCTCTATTTTGGTCTCCTGGTGGGGGAACAGAGGGTGTTTCTGCATTTATTGCAGGCAGTCTGCTCTGTACGTTTTATCACTGTGTATGAGAAAAGCATCCAAGATACTGCTGCCTTTTCTTTGCTATTTTAGCACAAAATTTCTGTTTGAGTATATTTCTCTCTAAGGAAAGATCTACTCAGGTTGCTTCACTTCATAGTTTTGAGAATTGGAGCCTCTCTCAGCATGAATACACATTGATTTGAATACACGAGTTGGGCATGTGATTGAAATTGGCATTTCTGAGCCTCTTCTGTAGGGGACAGCCATCTCCCTTTAAAGGCAAAATCAGTTGTGACATGGTGCCTACAGAAGCTTTGGTAAGAGGTCAGAGTAAAAGGTTTTTACTGAAGTACTGTGGGTTTTAAGAATCTGAAAGTAGACCTGTTGGATGGAGTCATGAAAGAAGTAATGCTGCCATTTTCCCTTGCTGAGACCAGAGGATGCAAACAGCGAAAAGGAAACATATTAAAAGTTATTTTGAATATAGGTAAGAGTTGTGTCCTAACTGTTGCACGGAAGGTGTGAGTTATCCACTTTTTGATGCTGTGCAGACTAACCATATTCATCCTACCAGCCAGAGCAGGACGGTCTCAGTGGTCAAAAAACTCCCAACCACCCCCCCTCTCCCCCCACAAAAAAAACCCAAGGTAAAAGGTCGGGACTCTTTCATACAAGGAAAAAAAATGGGACCAGGATCATGGTATTTTCAAACAAAATCACTAGAGAGGGAGATCTCATGTCTGAAGTTATCACATGTTTTTTGTTTGTAATTTAATTAAGAAAAAAGCCCCGGGAAGGTTGATGATTTTTTTGCCAGTAATCTCAGTAACATTGTGGAGTGGGACTTTACTCAAACTTAGAAGAAACGCAAAGCAAAGATCGAGGCTGGCAGAATGGAGGCTATTTGTGGGTGAACGCGTTCCTGCGGTTTACTTTTTCGCTCATAACTTTTTACTTCCAGGACCATCAGACTTTATGTGAATACGCTTTAATCCCGTGTCACACTGGTTGTGGGCACGTGGTCATGAGAAAGAAACTTGCGGATCACTTGGAAAATGGATGTGTTAATAATGTGGCGATGTGTCAGAAGTGTAAGCAGAGCTTATCCAGCAGTGAGTACCAAGTAAGACCCTTTCTCTGCTTCAAACAAGGGCTTGATAGCAATGTTTTAGTAATCTATCACGATATTTTTCATCCTGATTTCACAAATACTGTTACACTTGGAGAATTTTTAGTTTTGAGTTTGCTAGTTTTTCCATGCGTGTCTCAGAGGGAAAAATGAGCGGTATTTGATAGTCTGCTTGTGATGTTACAACAGGGAGGAAAACACCCTTGTGCTCACCCAGGGCCTGGGCAGCCCATGTTTTAGCTCCTGTCTCAAAGCTGATGCCTTTGTTTTGTACAAGATGTAGTTGATCTTCGAGCTTCTAAGTTTATGTTACTAAACCTATTGCATTCTTTCTTAAAAGTAGTTATTTTCTCAGTTGATGCTTAAATGTATGATAGCAGAGCAATGTTACACATTACATTTGCAGATTTAAAGTGACTTTATGGATTCATTTTTAACTTAAATAAAAGGTGCTCTTTTATTTTTTTCACCCATTTTTGTAGATGCAGCATGGTACAAATTCTGGGAGCGGTCTGAGGGCATAAAGTGAGCTAATAGAAACTGTTCTGTGTTGCTGAAGAAGGAAAGGGTGTGGTGGGGGAGATGAAAAATGATAGAAAATTGCCTCTTCTTATACAAGTTACAGGGTATATCTTCTACAAGAAGATCTAGAAGAGGTGTACATATATTCAGTGGCACACTTCTCAGCTTCATGGTGGAAGTGCATCATCTGGTTTTTAGGATGTTTTATGATTAAAAACTCCTGCAGCAAACCAGTAGCAGCGTGAATGAGAGATGTGCCGCGCCTGCTAACACTGCTCTGGGGGGTTGACTTGAAAGCTCTGAAAATGTTCTCGCCCCAGCCCCAATAACGTCTGACCCCATGCGCTCTAAAGCGTTGGGCAACGCTTTTTTGGGGTGTAGCAGCGTGAATATTGTTCCCTACAGATGATTTAAAGAGAGTAACTGCCAGCCTTGGTGTTTTGTCCTGGAATGGAGGCACAGTGGGGTGAGACCTACGTGGCAGGAGGGTTGTTGTGAATATCTCAGAAGTGTAGCCCCAAGTAAGTAGGAGTGGAGAGCTTTGCGTGTTGTAGCTGGCACAGATCCGTGCCTTTCCAAATACGGAGCTGTGGGGTTTACTCAACAGGGGGGTAACAGTCCCTCTGGAGTAAGAAAAAGATGCTTTTGCTAAATCATGCTTTTCAGGTAGCTCTTGCATGTGCCATTCATATCTTACTAACTCTTACAGAGAGAGAAGAATATCTGGACCCAGGCACATTTAAACCTGTGCTAAATCCAGCGTGTGTTTCAGAGACACCGTAAATACCAGAAAGTGGCAACACTTAATCCCTTTCTGCCTCCTGCAAGAGCAGTAGGCGGGCTGGAGGAGGAAACCTGAGCTGTGTGAGTGTTCTCTGAGCACCTTTCTCTTTTCAGAGGTCTGTGATACCACAGATCCACCTCAGCGGGTTTCATTTTCCTGCAGTGAAGAACTGTTTTCCTCCCACTCATTCCGGTTAGCTATCATCTTAATTAATTTTTTTTTAGTTAGGAAACCTTGGCAACAAAGCAGGGGATTGGCCTTGAGATGTTGACTTTTCTCTGCCTGCCTTAGTTAGTATTTGCAAAATTGGAATTTTGCTGGTTACATGATCTGCTTTGTTAAACTTGCACGTACATGACATTTGAATTTTGATTATTTGTATGTATTCCATGTCAAGAAATCAGCGTTTTGAAGGAGTCAAAGAGCAGAAAGGAAAAAATAAAGGCATAGTTTGTGCAACAGCTAAGCTGTAGAGTCTTAAAAAAGGAGCTAGAGAGTGAGAAAACCTGTGGCTGTTTTTCTGAGAACTGAAAGGGAAACCTCAGGGCTCTTTACAGGGAGACTTGAAGGTTGCTGGAATGGCTTTATCAAAAAATTTCTAGACTGCGGCAGGAAACGTACTGACGTGCAAAGGTGTTTGTAAGGATTAAAGAAAGCCCCCCTCCAAACAGTATGCATTGAAAGCCGACGGCTGCTGTGTTAAATACCCCTATTGCCGTTGCATGAAGCCATGGCAGGAGGATTACTCCAGGATTACTTGGAGCCAGAAACGGCAGGAAGTCTCGTGTTCGTGGTAACGCGTTCTGCATTAGCACATCGTGATGGAAAGTTTGGCCTCCAGCCTTCAAAATGTTAATACGCAGGATGCAAAAAGGGCCTGTACATTAAGCAAACTACATGAAGTCAGTGCAAGAAGGGTTTATATTTGGGTTTCCTGTATATTTGCTTTCTGTTCTCTAACCCACCTGCCTGTCGTGGTGTGTGTGTGCATACGAGGGGGTGTATGCACGTAACTGTGGCTTGAACTGAGCAAGACTTGTACGTTGCCAATCTTGGATCAGATTTCCCTGGGTGAATTTGCAAAGTCTGTGAGCAGTTTCCGAAAGCTCTGGGCCTGGTAAGCGGAAGATCAGACTTTGTACTTTCACTTACCAGGTATCAGCATGTGGAGATCCACCACGGAACACGCCTGTAGGCTGGGGAGAGTAAATCAGCTCAGAGGCTTGGCTTGAGAAACCTCTGAGCCTGCACTTCGTTGTGCAGGGACGGCAGCACTCACTTCTAGCAGATGTGGTTTAGTCCCAAATTTCTGACTGTTATTTCCTGTGAAAAGGGAGCCAGAGAGCTCTGCAGCCTGTTGTGTAGGGTGGGAGCTCTCTGACAGGGGTGCAGAATTTGCAGCGTGTGTTATGTGCTCCTGGGGAAGTTATCCTTCCTTCCTTTACTCTTCCTTAAATTCACACCTTGCAAGAAGAAAGCAAGAAACTTACTGTAAACTTTTTGTTCCATAACACAGAATTCCTGGTAGAAAAGCCTCCCAAATCCCCAAGCTTCTTTAAACAGGAATAGCGCTCCCAAACACGAGTTTTATTTCAAAGACTCCTAGGTGAAGATGCTCAATGATTTTAATAATGCACTGATTTTTTTTCTGCTTGTTTTAATGACAGGAACATTCATGTGAAGGCAGTTTATGTAAGGAACAAAACCATGTGCAAACAGGAACACCATCAAAGGAAAAAGTAGGTAAAAGATGAGTGAATGCACTACAGCTTCAATTCATAATAATATCCCTTGCTCATTTAGATTAAATAAACATCTTCAGATACGGCAGTTGCATCTGGGCACTTTTTACATCCCAGCATAGCTCTGCTGACTGCCTTTTCTTCCCTGCTCCCACAATTAACTCTGTTAAATGATCTTCTCAATTTATCTTATAAAAATAGGGAAATGGATTTTTTTTCCTTTCAAATATTCAGGGAGACCCACAACAGCAAAAGAAGAATATGCTGTATAACAGCGTATTTGAAGAAACGTATTTTTGGTTGTGAAGGGGATTAAATGCGAACGTGAGTCAGAGCTTTCATTCTGACAGATCCAGTCTTTCTTGGGATGTCCTGCACGACGTGGTTCTTCTGCGCATCCTCTAAGAGCAGGAAGAGGGTCAGAGTGGCTGTGTGTCCGGTGTTCCCCACCGCGACGGGCCGCTTTGCTTATTGACATCTTATTTATGAGACGTTGTTCCCAGGGGATTGCTGGGGTTTGTTAAATTATGTTGTGTCATTATGGAGTCGGTTAGATGGACACTTAATCGCTGGGCTGCTCATTTACTGATGGATTTTGAAAGTCGATTGGACACTGTAAGCTGCAGTAATGCCTTGATTTGAATTAATTTGATTTATACCTGCTGGGATTGTGGCCTAGGTACTTGTAGGTAAAGCAAAGAATCCCTTTCAATTGGTATTTGATTATTTTATTTCCTCTTTTTTTTTTTTTTTTCCGATAGAGCCCTTCTACACTCTTAACCGACAAGGATGGGTGTCGTTTTTCTGAAGTCGGCTGTTCGTTTAGGGTGAGTGAAATGCTGCCTTCAGGAAGGTCTCACATGGTTTGCAGCTCAGCGCCGTGCCTTTAGTCCGGCCAGCCCTTGTGTTCAAGGTAGCAGGCCTCGATTTAAATGTACCTCTAGGAAAAGAGAGAAAGCCTACCCACTTCTAGTAGACCGGCAGAGGTGATGTAGGAACCACCACAGTTACACAGTGTGTGTAAGGGGCGGTTCAGCCAGCGGTACTCCGTACCCTGCACTGTGCGTTCCTCGATTTGGCCCCAGGCCAGTTACGGTAGTTGTACAAAGAGTGTATTGACAATATCTTCTCCTTACAGGGAAGCAACGAGAAGATAAAGGAGCATGAAAAAACTGCAGTTGGGGCCCACATGCTGCTTCTGCTGCAGCACATAAAGCAGCTGAAGGCAAGCTTGTGCTCTGCTGCCAAAGCTGCAGATGGTTTCATCCCACAGTCAAAGCTGAATGCGAATGGCACGGGAGAGAGCACCTCCGATCCGCAGGTCCTAGCGGGGCTGGAAATCAACAGGGATCTGGAAGTAGACTGTTTTCCTGGAACATCTCCTTCCCAGGATGAGTCTGTTCTGCAACAACTTGTGAGGGAGAAAGTGATCTCTGAGCTAGAAAATAAGCTGCATGTGTTTGAGAATATTGTGGCAGTGCTCAATAAAGAGGTGGAGACCTCCAACTTGGAAATCACAGCCTTTCGGAGACAGAGGGAACTTGATCAAAATATAATACAAGGCCTTGAACTGAAGGTAAATCGTTATGATAAGTGTTGTCTGTGTGCTATAGGTAACAAATATTTACATGAGAGACTGGGACAGGGACGGGTACATGAATTTGAGCTGTGAAGTGTTGAGTTCTGGACATATCTACAGGATCCTTTTGGTGTTTTGGATAAATTTTCCAATGGGCATCTCTAATATTTGTTACCTAAATCTGCGTTTAGGCACCTGAGAGCTTTGAATGTTCAGAGTTTGCCATGATGAGGCTGTGAACAAGCAAGAGAGTTGTTTAATTGACTGATCCTCTTAAAGCAGCCTTATCCCTGGAAGACCACACAATCCAGTTTTTTGCCTTATGTGCTGACACATAACTGTCACTTAAACCAGGAGGCCCTCCAGAACATGAGGGCTCCAGAACAATGAGAACTCGTTTGCTTTTTCCAGATTGCAGAGTTGCACCGGTGCCTGCTGCAGAAGGATGCAGGCCTGAGCAGTCTCCATAAGAGTCTTCTGTTCTCTGAGCAAGCTTCCTACGATGGAGTCTTTCTGTGGAAGATAACGGATGTTGGCAGGAAGTTACAAGACTCTGTGACTGGAAGAACAGTCAGTTTGTATTCACCAGGTAAAACACGGGACGTATGCGTGTTAGTAAAACCCAGTCCTTTGGAAAAGCCACAGATTTCTCTGGAACGGGGCTTCTTTCTGCTCACATGGACAGGAGGTCCTTTAGAATAGCTCCTTAAACTAAGATGCTGTTTGTGCAAAGACCTCGTCCTCCTGCCTGTAATTCAGGGCAGCTGTGATGTGCTTTTACACAGCGTTGTGTTCTGTTCTGTGCCTTTTGGGATTTGTTCTCCGACGCAGCTACTTGCAGTGAAATCTGCTGTATCTGTCTCGTTTAACCCATGGCTTGGTGCCTGAAGGTACAGAGTAGCTTTCTGCTGCAGTTATCTCCCATGTGAGAAGTAATTCGATTAGGTAAAATATGCTTTTGTGGCTAATAACACGTAATTTTCGCTGAGACATGAGGCACTAAAGGACTCCAACCACTAGATTTTCATTGCTTATAATCTCCAGGGTGTGCTGCTTCGTCTGTTCTCATCTCGGTCGTAGCAAATCACGTCATACCCTGTTTTCCTGTGTGCCAGAACGTTCATTATGTCTTCCCTTCGAAGGAGGCTTTGCTAATGAAGAGTTCTGATTTTCAGCTTTCTACACTGCAAAGTATGGCTACAAGGTCTGCCTGAGGGTTTATCTGAACGGGGACGGGACTGGAAAAGGAACCCACGTGTCCCTATTCTTTGTTGTCATGAAAGGAGACTATGATGCTTTGCTCCCGTGGCCTTTCAGGCACAAGGTAAGAAGTGGCAACCTTTTTTTCTCTCTTACAGTTTGTGTTTAATTATTGATGGAGCACTCAGCTGCTTTTGCAGCACGTTTGCACTTCTGCCTCTGATATTTTCTGATTTTTCAGTTCAGTAACTCATCATTGCCGCACTGTTTTTTTCAGGTTACATTTATGTTGCTTGACCAAAATAACAGGGAACATATTATTGATGCATTTCGCCCGGACTTGACTTCTGCTTCGTTTCAGAGACCGGTGAATGATATGAATGTTGCAAGTGGCTGTCCCATGTTCCTTCCTTTGTCCAAATTACAGTCACCTAAATATGCCTACGTGAAAGAAGACACACTTTTCCTTAAATGCATTATAGAAACAAATTAGTGAATCTTGAATTACAAGTGTCTGTAGATCACCTGCTGAATTTCATTAGTTTGCAAGAAAAAAAACCCAAACCATCAGCTTGAGACTTTGTATTTTCACGTGCACAAAAAAGCCAGAGAGCCTGAGCCTGTGCTCCACCGCATCGATCAACATCCCCTGAAGATCTGCCTGCTAGAGCTGGCTGCTGCTGAGCGTGCCCAGTATTCCCCCAGTGCCCCACGGAGCCTGCTAGTGCCCACGAGAATGCTGGTGATTTCATCAAAACAGCCGATACTCCCGCTTTGGATGCAGATTACAGTCACCTCCCTCCACCCCAGATGTGTCTGTGGAAAAAGGCGCTGCTCGTCCTCACGCCGGGCCCCAGCGTGGGTGTCGATCTGCCTGGGGAGCGTGGCCGGGCTCCTGTCCGGCTCCTGTGGGTCAGTGGGTTTCAGGGGTGCAAAGGGGTGAGGCCGAGCTTTCCCCCTCCGCGGGCGGCTCACCGGGCGAGGCGGAGCGGAGCCAGCCCTGCTGGGGGGTCTGGCAGCCCTGCTCTGGGATCTTGGCAGCTCCCCCAGCGGGGCCAAGGGCAGATTCCTTCCGCTGAGGCACCGATCGGGTGTCGCTGTTTGCGCTGATCGATGACCTTGAAAGCAGCGAGTCGCCGATAGCGGCTGTAGCTTGGATTCCTTATACTGGATGATTTATTTCTTGCTATTTATTTCAGACTTATATTTATGTGCTCTGTAAAAAGATGTTCTGTTGCATCAGCAATCGGTGACCAGATTACACTGTGCCCTGGGGGAGTCACCTCTTGCATTTCCAAAGGAGTCCTTTGATTTCCCAGCTCAGAGGTGGAGCTCTGAGGGCCGTTAACCTCAGCCAAGTGCAGAGCTGGCCAGTGGTAAAGACCCAGCAGTAGCTTCATTTTAAAGTGTTTCGTCATTTCTTAAACCTTCAAGGCAAGTGACTTACTAGAAAATAGTGATTTTTTTTTTAATTGCATAATTCTTTCTATCTGCTCTGATATTTAAGTCTTTTCACAGTTAAAATAGAAGTAACTACTAGAAATATTTTAATTTTTTTTTAAATAGAAGTAAGGAATGAATAATTATTATTTTTAGAAGCAAGTCAAGCTTGGAGATATCTGAATGTGTGCAAAGTTCAGATGCTATAGGTCCCCAACAACAGGACAAAGCAGAGGCAGGTGTGTGTGTGCAAGTGGAAGGCCTTTATGCAGCTACTTTATTCATTTTTCCTTTGCAATATTTTCCACGTCTCAAATGGAAACACAAAGCCGACAGACAGCGTACCCGTGTCGTGAGAAGGGAAAGGAGAAACTGTTTGTCCACTTATATTTTGTAAACCATGGAAACCGCAGCCCTCTAGCAGAGCTGGTGAAACGTCACGTGCTGTGACTAACCTCCAGCCTGACTGCTGGCCTATGAAGAGATTTTGCAAATCTCTCATTTCTATCTTGACAGCATCCTTTAAAATAATTACTTGTGATAAAGTATCAAATTTCAAGAAAAAACCCCAAACCGCTCCATAAACAAATCTATCACAGCTTGTTTGGGAATCACATACACACACACAGAGTCTCTCTGTCTCTCCTTTTCCCTTCTTCCATGTTTAAAATGTTCTTTCGGGGACAGAAAGTTATTTTTCCAGTAATGTGCCAGCCCCTGTAACCACACTGGAGTAATACACCTAAAAATATTACGCTTTTCATGGCTGTCTAATTTTAACAAGCACTGTATTTATTGCAATCATTCATATTTTCTTACAATTTTATTTATTTCCTAAGTAAAGCTCACTGACTTAAAAAAGATTCGCGTGCTGTTTTCACTGTAAAATAGGAACGGAACAACTTGGAGACAGGACGATAGCGGTTTGCGCTGGGAACGGCTGAGCACCTGTAGCACCCCCCGAGCAGGTTTGTGCGGCTGGGCAGGACCCGGCTGTGCGGAGCCCTGCCCGGTGTCCCCAAAAGCCCCGTCCCCTGTCCCCAGGAGCTGGTAACGCCGACAGCCAGCCGAGGTGCCCGTGGCACAGAGCCGTGCCGGTGGTCCCCGCAGGAAATGAGTGGAAACTTTGCGACTGAACCTCTCTTGTCAGCACCACAAGAGCCCCTGGATGTCGGTGTTTGCGTGGAAGGCGTAGCACCCACAGGATGGGGTTTGCGCCCAGGAAAATGAATAAAGGGCGATACGACTCCCACCCCCTGGCACCAACGGGACTCAGGGCATGGGGGGATCCAGGCGCAGGTGAGGGGAGGACGGTGGCAGGGCCAGCTTGTTCCCAGAGCCTCTTCTGGGAGCAGCCCCAGCGCGAGGGAGACGGCAGCTGGTCTTTGAAGAATTACTGCAGGTTACGAGAGCGGTCGGCTCTGCCTGGTTGCCAGGGAGTCGGAGTCTCCCCATACCTGTGTGAGCTTTCCCCGGTCCTCGCTGGCCACGGAGCTGCTTTTCCACTGGGGGCTTTAATGAGCTGCTCTTATCACAGTGGGCATCAACTTGCCAGGGTGGCTTGGCTGCATCTTTGCTCCACTGATACTTCTTTTGTGCAAAATCCTTTTCCATGTGGAGTTGTTATTTCTGAAAAATAATTAGGAGGGTTTTCCTTGTGTGTGAGAGATGAGGAGAGAAAGTGAGGAAAAATGAGTAAAACTGTGTGTGGGTGAAAGCTGGGGAAAGAAAGTGTGTGGGAGAGAAGATGTGTGTGAGAGAATATTTATATGTGTCTGCATCGAGGGAAGCGAAGGATGTGCATGTGCAAGTAGAGAGATACGTCCAGCGGAAAGTGAATGACCTGTCACCTCCGTGCTTTTCTCTGGTGTGATTCTACCAGGAGCAATTACACCGATTTTCTTCAACTCCTGTTCACAGCCGGGATTTCACTGATGGCAGGAGCCTGGTGTTGTTGCAGGCAAGAGGTCAAATCACGCAGAAGCAGCACAGGCTGCAGGGAAGCAGAAGGGACCCACTTGGTAAAAAGTAGTTTAAAAAAGTTTCTTGGAAACCTTTTAGTTCCAGTTTTCTTTCTTTCCTAATGAGGAAATCCGTGAAGAAAAACGAGAGGAAGTCTGAGGAGTTCGGGGGACCCCGTGCTCATTGTCCTGCGGCGCGGGGCTGGGGCAGAGGTGCCTCTGACGCTTCGGTAGGAAATCACTGGAGGAGCATCGCATGGAGCCGGCTTCTGGGATGAGTCAGGCCTGGATGGCAAATGTCTGCAAAGGGAGGAAATTCGTTACTGGCTCTGCTCGTGGGACGGGCAGCTCGCTGGTGTTAAACCGTCCCCGGGATGGGACGTGCATGAAGCGTTGCTGATGTACAGCAGGTAAAAGCCTCACGGGAAGCAGAGGCAAGATGAGCTGTCACGAAACTTGTGAAAGCACGTTGATTGTTTTCATGTCTTATGCAGTTGTGTAGAAGCATTCAAAGGTTTGGTTTAAAAAAAAAAAAAGATATGGATTAAATTCCTGCTAAATAAACAATAAAGGGACATGAACCTCAATGCCTAAATGTTCTTCCTTTTAAAGGCACAGCTGGCATAAACCAGCTGAACATCAGATTTAACTGCTCTGATTCATGTTACAACCACACCTCTGCCGGAATATCCCCTCCCCTGTGTCGCTTCTGTCTGAAAGGGCTCAAACAAGAACTGACTCCCCCCCGTGAGCAGGCACGGCCGGAGCATTACTGTGTCCGTGTGGAATGCATCGAGCCGCAGCGCTTTCCAAACACGGGGCTCTGCTCCGGGCTCTGGCCTTCCTGGAAGAGGCTTCTGATATTATCTGAGACCTTCGGCCACAAAACTGTCTCAGTAAGGAAACGGGTGACACTTGTTAGGAAAGAAGCTGAAATGGGAGCGATATCAAGACTTCTCGAAACCAGCAAATCATTTCTGTTGTGGAAACGGGCAGCCAGATTGATTTATTTTTTTTGGCTGGATCAAATGGATCTATGCAGAAAAATGAAAGAAAGTTTTAGTGAGCTAAATCAGGACCAGTTGCTCTGTGTTTTACGGCTAGGTTGGCAAAGAGTAACAGTGCTTCCACAATCATAAGGGTCTAAAATTATCAAGGACAAGTTAGAGAATATTCTTTTTAATTGACCAGTACAGCTGGAAAAAAAACAGACAAGCTTTTAGGCTTATAAGCCCTTCTTCAGGATAGGAAAAGGACTCACAACCTCACCCAGAGCTGCTTCCAGCTTGGTTGTGTTGGTCAGTCAGGTGGTTTCAGTGAAGAGGTGGTCGAGACCCGTGGAGCAGAGAGAAACATTGGCCTGGCGCTGAGGCAGTGCCGTGTTTGGGTTTCCACTCAATATTCCTCGGCTTTGGTTTCCAAGACTACACGCCAACACGCAACCCCTCCTCCCGCTCCTGTTTTCAAAGAAAGAAAAACACCGTGAAAAGAAGCTACCCGAGGTCTGAGCGGTTTTCAAAGCAGAGAGAAAAGGAGCACCGGGAGCTGCCCGCCCCGTGCCCACCGCAGGCTCCGCTCCCAGCATCGTGTGAGCGGGGAAGCACCTTCCCCACCTTTGCAAGTGCAGAGTGTGGAGGAGTGATGGAAAAGGAGGAGGAGGAAGAGGAGGGCAGGATCCAGCAGCTCACCGCAGCAGATGCTGGTGCTAGGCTTGACGGGGATGGTGTGCCAGAACCACTTGCAAAGAAACACAGAGTTAAAGGTGATTGCGTGGCTTCATCCGTGTTAGGAAACAGAGGATGCATCTCAAATTTCTTTTGTTTTTTTTTCTTTTTGTTTGGGACTTCTGTTGCAGGGCAATGTTACCATGCTCTTTCCACTGGCAGGTGCCAGGCTTGGGGTGCCCTCTCTGTACCGGAGGGTTTTCGGTAAGGTTGCCCCCACTGACACCCATGATGAACTTGATCCCGTGTTTGATTTACACTTTCCTTGTTCCTGCAGCAAACGACCGAGATGCTGCGAACACAAACTGCGGCGGCTGGGGGGGAGGGCGCGAGAATGTTGCCATTTGCCACCAGCCCCCACGTGGGGA